CAATTTCTCGATCACATCACGACTATGATTGACAGAGGAATGGCAATTATTATAATTCTGTTGGACATGCAAAAGGCGTTCGACCGCGTGCCACACCAGCCACTGCTGTCTGCTCTAGAGTCATATGGAATTGGAAATCCGCTGCTTAACTGGTTCGACTCATACCTAAACGGTCGAACTCAGGTCGTTAAAATCGGTCAGCAACATTCTACACCGAAGCCAATAACCAGCGGTGTCTTCCAGGGAAGTGTACTCGGACCGCTACTCTTCTTAATCTATGTAAACAATATATGTGACCCGATCAAACATGGACATCCATTTCTGTTTGCAGATGATGTCAAACTGGTCTACTCATTTCATCCAGACCAACTACATATGTGTTTGGGAAACATCTGTGAAGACCTATCCGCACTAAATATAGCTAGTGAGCGCTTATTAATGAAGTTCTCCGCAGTGAAATCCCAAGTACTTGGGTACAGATGTCGCATCCCAGAAGGCTCCATTATACTTGCCGGAAACGTGATCCCAACGTCTGATTCAGTTCGGGACTTAGGAATTAGGTACTCCAACTCTTTCAATTTCTCCGAACATGTTCTTTATCAGGTTGCGAAAGCAAGGCAGCTATGCGGATATATCACCAGAACTTTCTCCCTACCTGAAGTACGACTTGAATCATTCAAGACAATCGTACGACCGACTCTGGAATATTGTACTATCCTTCACAGCCAATTGAGAAAGAAAGACAGAACGGCTCTAGAAAATGTCCAACGATCATTTACCAAACTGCTCATGGGACGCTGCTCAAACCTGACTTATTATGATCGCTGTCGAAAACTCCAGCTGGATCCACTTTGGCTGAGACGCTTAAAGAACAACCTCGTTCTCTTCTACAACATTATAAACCAACGAATTTACGCAGACAGCACCGCACTTGAACTGCGGAAGACTGCAGTCTACCCCACACGTAATGGCGGCTACTTGATACGTACAAACCTTTCAAGTCATAAAATTCGATCGAATTTCTTCTTAGTGAGATACACTTATTTGTGGAACAAACTACCCCTACAGATACGCATGTGTACAAGCCATGTCACCTTTCGAAGTCTCCTTCAGACCTTCCTCACTATACCAAATGCTCTGAAGATATTTGACACACAACAAACACTAGAAACATTGACAGAAGTTGGTATAAAAAACATTTGATAATAGCTTACAGCTAGCTTACCCACTACATGTCATTACATACCATACCAAATCCTGTGTCTTAGCAGCCTAATAGTCCCTTCGTTTATTATCTACTCCTGACGATACAAACATCCGTAAATTTTACATATGAGTTGCGCGGGTCTAGGACTCAAGGAAAAGTAATCATGATCCGAAATGCTATCAGTAAACTTTTATTTAATGTTATGAAACGTGTGCACTATACAAATGATCGCTCCCACTTATGGGGCCGTGTACCGTCCGTCGGTAAATATACAAATTTATTTATTTATAAGTAGGTCAGCTGAATTACTAGTTACTACGCTTTTGTAGGATGTATCAGCAGGCAAGCTGCTAACTATTTGTCCACTAAAAGGAGTGAAGTGGATTGGAACAACCAGAGTTTGAGACGTTTAGGTGAGATGGAGTTGTCTGACTCCCTTGTTTGGCTTGAATGGGGAAGTTCTAGTTGTTCGTTGAGATGCACAGGTCCATCTCTGGCGTTCACCAGTTGCTCAACTGCTTCCGTCAGCTATTCACACTTCCCTTCGAACGACCAAACAGCTAACAAGCGGGATGGATCTGCGCACCTAGCAATCCAAGCGCTTCCGTTTTGCTATTGCATCGCCTAGTTTCGAGTGGAACGCTTTAGAGCAGTTAAAACACGTTAGTCCCAGCTTGAGGACTCTAGCACATAGATCATATTTATCCTTCGAGCGGGAAAAATTCATTGATGACTTTCACTTTTGTAGTCTAGCAAAAGTTGTAAAATCAGCCAACCGTTAAATTTGCCAAGGCCCACGACGATGGTAGGATAAAGCGCGCGTCGAGTTTGTGCGTAATCGCCTGACTGTACTCGCTGGTAAGGTAACGAAGCGCGCTTTGTTGGTTGGTGGGTCAATGATATCCGCTCTGACCGGGCAGGAGTCTGTCTCCGAAGCTGCATGTTAGCGATATGAACAGACAGAATAAGAGGGAACAAATTCCCCTACAGCCGTCTTGAGAAACATCATCATCATCATACACGTTAGCTAGAGGTGGGGAACACCTCAGCTACTGTGCCGCAATACAAAGAAAAAAGGAGAGAAAAATAAAACAACTGGTGAAAGCTGGCTGAGCTACCGGTAACGGATGGGCATCGTTCCGGCAAGCTACCAGCCGGCTGCTGTGCACCCAAAAAAATTATTATGCAAAATTATATAAGGCTAAGTAATGAGATCGTGGTTGGAGGGGAGGCTAAGAGGGATGGGGTGGGACAAAGAAACTCACAGCACGAACGCCACTGAGGTCGGCTCCTAGCCATATCAGCAAGTGTGTCCAAGCAAACGTGTTCATCGTTTTTCGGATCCCAACCAGGGAGCCGAGACGCTCCAACCGAGGCCAGCTCAGAAGTGAGGGCCTTCATTCCTCTCGACCAAGTCATCGCTTGGCCACCCCTCCTCTTCTTCCATCCACACCCCCGGCACGCAAACAACACACGTCGCGGAAGTCGGCCCTTCCCCACCATGAGAAACATCATGCTAGAGTAAACTTGGAATTATTAGAAAGCCTCGAAATCTCGGCGTCGAACGATTTTACGCAATTGAGGATTAGACCCAAAAGCGACAAACTTGTCCGCGTGGTTAGACACGAGCCGTTCGAAACGGCTGGTGTTGCTAGAGTCATGGAAGATAATCTCAGTGAATAGAATTGGTAAATGCGATTAGAACGACCATAGAGTGACTACGCTGAGTGATGTAGATAGGAGAAAAATCCGTAAAAATCGGAGAGCGACAATTACGCGAAGGTCGGACACCAATGTGTCACGCATCTGTGGGTAGATCAAACTACATTACTTAATACGCGATGAAGTGTGTCTGTGCACTCAAACTCAGTTGCGCAAGTTGTAGCTGCTCGAATGTGAATGAAGTTGGTGAACATCTTGCTGCAAAGTGATTCCGCAGTCGGATACGTTATGGTTAAAAAAGAAAGTAAGTTGATGCGTAATCTCACCATCGTGTGTTGCTTTGACAAGGAGCCCGTATGCGATGACAAAACAAGCCCGGTTGGCTTAACCTACCACGTATACTTCTAGTGTGACGAGCTAACCGCCTGAAGCACTACTAGTCGCTCATCTTCCAGATGCCGGGACGCTGAAATATGTTTGCCACCTAAGGGCACAGGAAAAGTGGTTGGGGTAAGTTGATGAAATAAAAAATCGTGAACCAATCCTTCTATTCGATCTCGTGGAAAATGTTTGGAACTCTTGGACAAACCAAGTGTGTGTGTGTGTAAAATACCAGGTTGGCTATAGCATTGAAATACAAGGTAAAGATTATGCACAGGTTTATTTAGGTCAAACAGCGAGGGAACTAAGTACAAGACTTTGAGAACATAGGCGGAGCATATCACGATATCCGAGCAATGAGTTGGACTCAGAGATCCGGCAGTAGCAATGCACGCCCTACACATAGCATATGAAACTTTGAAAGCGTCGATTTTACTAGATGATCGCGAGCAGCCCAACAAAGGCCAATTAATGTGGTCATAGAAACAATCAAGATTAGCAAGTGTGTGAATAGTATGGATGGAGTAGGGCTGACTAGTGACGGGCGCCGAGTCACTACTTCACCCAGGTTGACAAGCGTTAACGGATGGATCCGAAGTTGGGGGAACCAACAAAAATCCCACCATCACAATCGAAGACATATTCCATCAATGATCGATTTCACTCCAACGAACCACTTAAGCTAGACTGTCCACACAGGTAACTGTTCTCCGAGTAGCATTCCTTGTTCTCAATTTGACCATGACTGAAACGAATAGAGTACGCTAGAAGCACTGTAACCTTTTACCCATGAATTGCAAGATAATGAGTCGCTGTACGCAAACTACCCATGATCGCTGTAAAACGTCATCCAATGCCAAGCTATTCACTTTGTATGAGGAAGCTCTTGTGACAAAGGCGAAGCGTCTTGCATCTAACAAATTTATTTACCGGCCGTCCAACCAAGCCTTCTGAAACAAGATCCCTCATTCTTTCGGTTCAGACAATAAAAAATAATGACATGGAGCGCATTGCAAAAATAACCAAGTGGCTTTCACGAGACACACTGTCTCCAATCTAGGTGTAATGTATATAGCTACTGAGATATTTGTTTGCTGTATACCAGGAAGAAGAGGGTAACACGTTTAGAGAAGCAGTCAAGTGCAGCCTCGCAAGTGGTTAATAATCCGAGCGGCACGGGGTTTCCCCATCATTAGCAGTGTAAAGCCATTAGGCCATCCCTAACGAATGGAAAGCGCATAGCATCAGCAGCGCCAGTAGTATGGACTATAACGGACGCATTCAAAAACTTTGCATACGAAGAAAAGAGTTGAAAGTGGCAGTTGATTCTCGAGGTGTGGAGTGGAGGCTAAATCGCTCCGAAGACGATGCACGACCGGATGCTTCCTGAAACACCACTGTTAACACGGTAAGAGACCCGGAAGACGGTTCTTTCAGCATACTTGCCGTAATGGTATCGGTTGACAAACCGCCAGTGAGTGGCGACGGATCAGGGACATGAAGCAACGGTGCACCTCCAATCCTGTAACACCACGATCCACACAGCAGTAAGTGCACTAGGTTTTCTGTAGATGATTTGCCGCACACAGGCAACGAACGGAACGAGAATACTACCCACGCAACGCGAGTATGAAATTATGGTCAGAAAAGTGGCACATTGAGTATATATGACAGGAGCGAAGAAATGGTAAGCTATTTATGGGCACGAAAACCAGTGTAGGGCTGAATAACATCATTGAGATGGGATCACTCAACCGAACGAATAATCTGTCCATAGACCCCTAAGCGTGTACTGAAACAAGAAGAACTGAGTGATAGAACAAGTTAGAATTTGAGACCAAACACAAAAAACTACGCAAATAATCGAAAGAGCTGAAAATGCAAAAGCACCGTCACCGGAGAGTAAATGGGCACATCTCGAGGAAATGTGTGCAGAAAAGGCAGTACATGAAGGATCACAGATAGGTAGCAGATCACCACAAAGAGGAAGTAAGCAAACTATGGGATTATTTGGTACCGGTACACCTGTGAATCAAGTTGGAAGTTCGGTTGAAGAATTTGATACGCACCACGTGAGTCTCTGCCATCATCTGGATGACGTGAGGAGAACCGGTGGCAGAAATGGAAAATGCAGATGACCAGCACAAAGACAGATAAACAAAGCATGTTGCAGACGAAGAGAGCAATGGCAGTTGTTCTTTGTGCAACTGAAGCTTTGGATAAGTGCCCGCTGGACGGAGTTTTGCGAAAAGACGGTTTTGTGTGAGTCACCGAACGTTCAGTGGGGACGAGGACGTTTGCCAGCCGCTCCTGTGAAGATACATTCCCTGAAAAAGAAAGTTGATAATGGTTTAGTTGAGAACAAACAGAGAACATCGTTCAGTTCATTGTAGTTAAACATCTGTGATCCGGACAACGAAGTGTGGTGGAGGCAGTTGCCGCGACTCACGTCGCCAGAATAACAATAAATAACGAGCACAAGAAAAGAAAGTGAAACGCGAATATAATGCAAGGAAAATAGAACCAAGAAGGAAGTGCGTTAAAGTAACTGCGATGGAACGAAAACTAACGACTACTTGGCGGTTGAACTGTTCGCTGAGCTTGACAATTTTGTTGTAAACGTTTCGCCACCAATCGAGGTGACATTATCAGTGCGTAGTGGAGTGGCATGCAGTAGCGTAGAGGAGCCTCGGTGAGAGTGCGCTGAGCGTAGTGTGCGTGTGTTTTTATACCGCCGTGGTTGCCCGTGGGGACGAGCAATCCTATTGGTTGGGACTTAGATCCGCGTTAAGCCTGGTTATGGGCAGATGACGTTTGACCTTGACCCCGTGTGTTTCGTGACCTTTGTCTGCTTGCTCTTGTGACCGAGTCTGTCGTCAGTCCTGGTTGTCTAGTCACACGTTCCACCGGATTCAATCGATCGTTGGCGGTCGTTCGTCAGTAGTGTTGTGTATACTGCGTCCAGTTCGATGTGTCGACTAACTGAAGTCGTTGTAGAGTACCAGGGTTCCAAAAACCCACGCGTATTTTGTACTTCCATGTGCTAGGATCTTTACATGCACCAGATCGAAATGGTGGCTTTCTTGATCTTTATGCGCAGAAATCAAAGAGTGGGAACCATGCCTTCTGACGGCCGCCTTTTTTCTGTGATTCGTGTACAAAGCGTTCTTCCAGTTTGTCCGACGTAATTTTTATCGCAGTCGCTGCATTTTATCTGGTAGACGAAGTTGCATTGGTCGGGTCAAGATCATCTGCCCATCAACCAAGCTGGAGGCGGATCGAAGTCACAACCAATAGGAGTGCTCGTCTCCACGGGCAACCACGGCGGTATAAAACACACGCATACCACGCTCAGTGCACTTTCAATGAGGCGCCTTTACGCCACTGCACGCCACCCCACTACGCACTGATGATGTCACCTCGATTGGTGACGAGACGTTTGCAAGAAACTTGTCAAGCTCAGCGAACAGTTCAACCGCCATCTGAACAACCTAAGCTATCAGTCTTCAATGCTATAGCTAACGACTACTTGCAAGAAACCGAATACAGGAACGTCACTGCGCCGTGTCTGATAGGGTCTCCAAACATTGATGTAGACCATCCACGAAGATAACACGTACCAGTTTGATGAATCCTCTCGGTCAGTTTCCTCATACCTCTATACTGTAACGTGAACAGACCACTTCCCGGTTTCGACCCATTAGATGCAGCCACGGCGTTTAACGCACATTGAGGAAGTCAGTAAATGGGCATGCGGAGGACATGACGTAGCGAACACTGGCGGTTAAGTTCATGAGATACATTAGTAAGGCACCAAGAGGTTTACTGCCATAAACCAACTGGGCTAACCCCCGAACTACTCCCGATGTTCACACCATGTGTGAGCAATACTCCGCAAGCACCGGTGATCAAAGACGGCAGACGCTTAATAACCGCACTGATCCACACTGTAACTCTGGCATTCTCGCTGCGTTATACAACCGACCCTTCGCTGATAGGCTGGTATTCCACCGTCTCCTTAAAGAACATCGTAGCCTTCGATGTGCCGGAAACAATACAAACATGCAACTCCGCGATAAAAGGCGGAAATGCTCATTCGCATCAAGGCAACGAGAAACAAGATACACGATGGACAGGATACCAGAAGTTGCAACAGTATCGTCAGATATTTAAGCAGACATAATATTTGGAAAGAACTAAATTTTATGCCTTACCCCCATCAGTATAAGATTTAAAAAAAGATTTGAAAAATCCTATGTTATCGGGAAGGTAAAACTGATGATCTGACTGTAACTCAAAATCCGAATGAGACAAGTCCAATGAGCAGAAGTGGCTGGAACCACTAACAGATGTTGAGAAATGCAAAGAGAGGTGTTCATCTGACAGAAAACTAGCATAAGTCGCTAAGGAGGCTTCAACGGACTGTTTTCATCAAGCAGTCACGTGTTGAGTGTGATTGACAGCGGCAAACAGATGTAAATTAAAAAAGAACAAAGAAGAAAGTGCAAAGAAGCCAAAAACGTGCACTGCGCCAAAGGAAAAGTTGTTATATGCATGAGACCGAACAAAACCATACAGCTGCATCCCTTAGCACAAACAGAGTGCGATATGCTTGATTCAGACTCCGTTTAGACAGCTACATGACCGGTGGTACATATTTAGGAATTTACATGTCACGAGGTGCTTACCACTCATAAGAGCGCAGCGGGTAGGTTGCACTTCACCAAATACCGTGCCACCCACGGATCCAGTGTAAATCCGAAGGACAGAGATCAGGAGGCATCTGATTAAGAGTTGGTCCGCATTTCCAACATATATATGGTTGGCGGCATCCGGATTCGAATTTGCCTGTCACTGTGGCCAGCCACAGGACGCCTGCGCCTACAGAGCGACCATCGGTGGCTTGCGCTGCACCACCCACAAAACCATATCCAGTGTAAACCCGAAGGAATAAGATCGGGAGGCATGTGAATGGGAGACACGTTTCATCAACGAAGCCGGCCCACACTCCTTCACAGGCAAACACAAGCACGCTGTAGTTGGGAAGCAATTGCACACAAGGCGGTGGCTGGACCGTAGTCCGCTCCACACCACGTGCATGGAACCACTCTTCGAGCCTAGCACGCCCACAAGGACCGTGCACCCCGTCCCCTCCAGCAACGACCAACTATCTCCTAGAGCCAATATGGACGGGGTAGTGGGTAATAGGCAGGTAGGCACCTTATCAACATGCACATCAAACGCAGCCACACCGGGGTTGTCAAACAACAGCCAATCACTTGAAATGACATTATCAAATAAAATATATATGTTAAAGAATACGGCTATGCAGACATAACTCTCCCCTAAATTAGTATATGAAGTAAGTTGGTTAGCAATGAATCCGTGATAAGTACAAAACGTCCAGAAGTTACGCAAAAAATGCTACAAACGCAATCAACTTAACGAAGATAACCACAATTAAGGTAAGCAACATAGCCAGTTCATAGAAGACCAGTCAGGTAGGCAGAACAAACCAAATGAAGTGGATGAAATTTATCCAGCTTAAAAAGACCTATTTTAAGTGGAAGCTGATTTAGCCCAACTGCGGTGAAGAAGCAATATGAATGCAACATCAGCCTCAGCTTAGGGCACACCATATATATATATATATATATATATATATATATATATATATATATATATATATATGGCGGGAGAGACTATAGTTCGATGACGCTGGTGGTGGCTAAATCCTGACAGATGGTCTACCCACTGCTGCTGCGACTGTTGTGCCATAGGCTCATGTCTTGAACGCCCCCTTGTGGCGACCGCTGAGTGGGAGTTGGGTTACACCCTTCTCCCTGTTAAGATACAGAACACCAATCCGCATGAGTCAGTAAGCTGACCATGTGCCAGACTCATTGCCTTTCGGGTGTTCATTTGATCGAAGACTTTGGCTGAGGACACGAGCCGTTCTGCTGTCAGGTATGGGCGCCCTGAGAGTATTCTAGTAAATCCTATTGGGATGTTAGGAAGTAGTCGAAGGCCATCTTCCCGTAAAACGTAGCAATGGGAGACGACAGGCCTACTGGTTATAAGCTCACAGCTCAATTGGCATAGAGCAGGAGCGCCACGCATTGTCTCTGACGGTGGGAGGGCACCTCTGGGTGTTCAAAGGTTTGCCAGTGCTCGCCTCAAGACAGGCAACCCCTGGTCAAATTGGTGCAAACCAGTTAAAACCCACCAGAGTCTGGCCGTGGTCATAAGTGTGTCTCCTACTACGGTCGCAAAAATTATATGAATCGTTCCAGTACCTCAAAGTTTGCGAGTGACAGCAGTCAAGCAGATTCCAATCTCTCTCTACAAGCACATTCCCGAGCTGGATCTGCTCCCCACTGCCTTGTTGGTAAGGCAATTGAACCAAAGGCTCCGGGTGGAGTCCCTCAAGCAAACCTCCGAAGCACAACCGCCACCTCGCGTGCGATTGCCCACCAATGCAATCGTATGCTTGCGCGCAAAGCACTCAGCATCGGGTGCTGGAAGGTGCCCACACTACTGGACCGGAACTCAAATGAGCGCCACAAGCGACGCACTGCGCTGGTCGCCATGGAACTGGTGCGGTACAACATCGATATTGCGGCGCTCAGTGAGACTCCGCTGAGCAAGCTAAGTTGCATGAAGCAGGTGCTGGCTACACATTCTACTGGGCAAGCAACGCCGCCTCAGCACCAAGTGCACATGGGGTCGGAGTTACAATATTCGATTGGCTCTATGGCAAGCTGGTGGGTGAACCAACAGGCATCAGCGCGCGACTGATGACTGTTCGCCTAGGATTCGAAAGAGGCAAGTTTGCCACTTTTATAAGCACGTACGGTCCGACCATGGGTTATCCTGATGACACGCGTGATCAAGTCTACCCTCAGCTATCCTCCGTGATACGGTCTGTGCCGAGGAGCGACCGACTGGGTGATTTCAACGCGCGCGTTGGGCGTGATGCATCAGCGTGGACAGATGTCATCGGTGCGCATGACATTGGTTCAGCGAATGCGAACGGTGACAGGCTGCTCTCACTGTGTGCCACTCACGGCCTGACGATCACGAACACTCGGTTTGCACTGAGTGCGAGTGATAAAGCAACTTGGACGCACCCGCGGAGTGGTCACGCTCACCTGCTCGACTATGTCATCGTACGTCAGCGTTATACGCGTGAAGTGCGCATGACACGTGTACTGCGTGGAGCGGAGTGTGGTACTGATCATAAATTGGTGCGCACCGAACTGTACATATATTTTCGTAAATCTATGTATTGCACTCCCGCCGTGAATCGGCGTAATTTTCACATTCT